TCAGCAGAAGGCAAGTCAGTGATTGCTCAGGGTGAGAGCAGGGACAGAAGGAAGTTAAATGAGGGAAGAAGTATGATTTTTTTTTATCTTGATTGTAGTGATGGACATATTAAATATATGTCAATGGAAAAGTTCATAAATTATGAATATGTTAGATTTATAATTAACAGCATAGGAATTAGTCTTTACTGTGGGGGAATCCCTTTGTACCAGAGCTAAGAGGGCTACATTTGGCAGGTGGGATGGCATATGCCTACAATCCCAGCAACTCAGGAGGCTGAGGCAGGAGGGTTGCAATTCCAAGGCCAGCTTCAGCAACTTAATGAGACTCTGTCTCAAAATTAAAAAAAAAAAATAAAAATTGAAGGCTGGAGAGTTATGCTCTGGTATACCCATGCCCACACCAGCTACCCTACTTTTATTTCTTTTTTGTTTGTGTTTTTGCATTCTGGGTAGGCAAGAACCTGATTTTCTTTAGAAAGTACATTTAATATCTTTACATATACACCTTCTCCTCCTCCTCTTCTTTCTTTTCTTTTTCTCCTCCTCCCCTTCTTCATGTCCTTCTCATTCTTTCCCATCTTATCTCTCGATTTAGGAATCTGTGTTACCTCAAAAACTTAGGAGTCCTCCCTACACTACCTGCAGTGAAGAATAGTGGTGACAACACCAATTACCCTAGGAACCCCTTCATAACACCAGCGCGGTGGGGGCGGTGCTTAACAAAAGATTGGACCAAAGATAAAGATAGTTGAAGAGAGGGTCAGCCAGAGACAGTACTTCTATTAAGGTTAGCAAAAATTCTCTCTGTGAAGGAAGTGGTCATTTATTAGACACCTTCTTAAAAAGATGTAAATTGAAACAAGATCAAAGTGCCCTCTCTGTATGTCTGGAGGAAGCACTCAACTAAACCATGTTTATAAATTAAAACAAAAAATTGAAAATGATAACGTATTTTGAAGTTCTGAAGAAAAAAATAATCGTGATATGATGTCATGGAAATGGAAGGGTGATCTATATTACAGGCTGAAAAGGGGGACATTGTACAGTGCAAACGTGTCAACATGGCAATGTGCTATGTCTGACATTACTCAGATAGGAGCCCAGAAGAATAGGATTCCAGTTGATCCTATTGTGAACCCTTATGAAGTTCATCCTGCACTGGCAGTCAACTGCCTTCTCATTGTTTTCGAGTGATTATTTAAGCATAACCAACTTTAAAAAAAAAGTTGCTATTTTACATATATACTAGAATTTAAATTCACTCAGCTTCAAGAATCCAAAGACAATCATTTACATATCTACATTAACAATGTTTTGGCTCCAGGCTCCCTCTACTGTCTCCAAAATAATAAACATTTTATGGCACCCTCTGGACTAGATTCAATTATTTATGAAAGTGAAAACAAACACAGTCTTCTGCAAGTAAAGGATATCCTCAGTATGGTAATCAGGAAGTTCAATATTTGGAGAAAGGTGAAAAATATATACCAATTCATGAAGTATTTGTATAAATAGAGCCATATAAAGTTGCCATCATTTGCCCATTTCTTATCCATATATGACAATTTCATATAGTTTGACCTAATATAAAAAAAAATTGTCAAAGAATAGAGTTTGGTGGGGGATAAGTGTGTATGTGTTGTAGGGGTGGCCATTGCTTTTAATAAATCATCTCTATTATGAAATTTTATTCCTAAATGTACTAGTTAATTTACCTATCTCTTGAGCAAAACTACACTAAGTTCAGTGCTTTATAGGATTAAACTTGGGTTTAAAAGAAAGAAATCTAGCCAGGTGCTGTGGTGCAAACCTATAAAAGTTAGAGGCCAGCCTCAGCAACTTAGTAAGACCCTATCTCAAAGTACAAAAGTAAAAAAAGAAGTTGGGATGTAGCTCAGTGATAAAGAGCTCCTGGATTCAATCCCCAGTATCAGGGGGGCGGGGGAGGGGAGGGAGGGAGGAGACGAAGAGGAAGGAAAGAAAGGGAGGGAGGTATCTGTCTTCAGTTTAATAAGTGTGAAGATAAAAAAAAATGCTTCACACAAAAAGATAAATGAAAGAAATGTAGAAAAGCCATATGTTTACAAGAGGCAAGCTGGAAATAAAATACTGTAGTTAACATTTTACTGTGAGTAGAGGAAGTAAGGCAATTTGCATAGACTTCAAACAATCTCACCCTATTGAGAAAACCAGCAAATCCTGAAAAGAATTAGAGGTAAAAGCCAAAGTCAATAGGCTTCAAATATTCTCTGTGTTTCACAGTAACTAACAAGAAAGCATCTTCTGGGTAAGTTCACACTTTGCACACAATCAATATCAATTTTGTAGCTGGTACTTTTCCAAAGAGTTAATATTTTACAGTTCAGAATTTTAGTTTGTTTGTCTTTGAAGCACAAAGAATGCCTTTTGAAGTTATGTTTTCATAGTCCTAAGAATTCAAAGAGTGAAAAATGCCATCAAAGATTTATTTACAAAGATGTTCGTCAAAACCTTATTTTTGATACAATAAATTATAGGACAAAAACTGGAAATTTCCAGTTGGGGACTGGTTGAATAAATTATGGATAAAGTGTGTTTTATATATTATGTAATATTATATGGCCATTAAAATGTTTTGAAGACGTAAAAGACATTGGGGAAATGTTCACGAGAGAATGTTAAGCAAAAAGGAATGCTAGTAATGTGTATACCATCAAATACAAATGTTATTAAGTAAAATATATATGTGCACAAAAAAGTTAAAAGGAAAAATTGAAGTAGTAACTGAAGTTATTACTGGGTGATGGTATTCTGGGTGGTTTTTACTTATTTATTTTTCATGTGCTTTTCTTTATGTTACATATTGTCTAATATGAGCATGTGTTAGGTTTTTGGGTTTCGGGGGGTAGGTGTGGATTGCAGGTCTGGGGATTGAACCCAGAACCTTGTGCAGGCTAGACACTCTACCACTGAGCTGTACACCCCCCAGCCCCTGCATTGGTTTTATAATCAGAAAAACATTAAGTGCTATTTAAACATTTTTATATCATGCTCTGCTTATGTTCAGATCTACTTAAAAAAATGAAACCATAGAATTTAATAAAAGCCAGTTGTTTTGGGGTGATGTAATATTTGCCTAAGAGCATTTGGCTTTTTCCCTTCATATTATTAGAACAAATCCTCACTAGATAGACACTTTTTGGTAATTTATTCAGTGGTTTGAATGTACAGGTTGGAGCTAAACTATGCTTTACTTTTGAGTATTACACCAATAATTTCTGCACTAAAATTATAGAGATAGGTGAATTATCTCTGAAGTCGTACAAATAAAGATGAAATGTAATGCCTTTTTATCAAAGTGAGGTAAAATAACCATGTGGATTTGAATAAGCACTGGGTCAGGCACTTTACCTAAATACAGCTACCCTGAAATAGGTACTTCTATTCACATTCACAGTGTAGTAGAAGTAGTAATGCTACCTAAGAGTTATTGATCAGATGCCATAGGCCAATCTCTGTCAACAGCTTTACTTTATTTTTTGTTTTAATCTCTGCTATGAGTCTACAGCACCAAGTTGTATATGCATCCCTGCTTGGCATTTGAAAACCCTGAGGTCCAAGGTGGGACCTAGCCCTAGGTAGAGAGAATACTTTAGTTCTCCAAGATCATTAATCTATTCTTGCCCTTTCTTTCAAGAACAATAAACTTAAAAAACCCTGAACTTGAGCTCTTCTGTGCGGAGGGAAGCAGGTCAGAAGAGAAAGTTTAATCAATTTGATGCTTTCTTATCCTTCCCAGTTACCTATTTATCAAGACTAAGCAAATTTAGCAAAACTATTGTTTTCAAAGGTGTTGATAGAAATAGATGAATAGCTGATAGAAATAGATAATAGTAGAAATGTCTTCCACTAAACTTCAGACATCAGCCTTTGTAAGGGTATTCCTGTAACAGGAATGTATTTGTCTATGACTTCATTGAGTTTTTAAATTTCATTCTGGCTTTTTATCTTTGCCTCTTTTCTATCATCTATGACTCACACAAGATTTAGAGAGTAAATATGGACAAATAATTAATAGAATTTCAAAATAATTAAATATATACATATATATATATATTCTTGATTCCTGACTGGTCTAATTGATTCCATTTTAATAATAATAATAATAAACAATAATAGCCATAATTAAGTAACACTAACATATTTTTATCATATGAAGTTCATGACTATCTACCAGGTACATATCCCCAGAGGGTACCCAAACCCAGAGGTTAAATAGCGATTATACTTCATATTATGTGGCTACTACATGAAATACAAAGCCAGATTTGATTCCAATAAAGGGGCTTCCTTCAAAACACGTTGCCTAGCAACAAATAGAATCTAGTGACTTCCAAATCCCAAGTGCTGAAAACCCAGCAATTCTTTCCTAGAGGACAAGCCTGAGGGACAATTAGAATTTCTTAATAAAAAAGCTTTACCACACTTGAATCAAATGTATGAAATATGATATGTTAAGAACATTGTAATGTTTTGAACAACCAATAATAATAAAAAAAAGCTTTACCACACTCTTCCATAGCCAAAACAGTTATTTAAGCCCATAAATACCTCCTACTGGCCGGGATGGATAGCTGAGTAGCAGCCTCAGCACCAACCAGACTCATAACATGCCTCAGGCTGGCGGGAGAAGCAAGTCTCTGACCCCTTGAATCAGATTTCTGGGAGAACTGGCGCCCAGAGACCGCTCAAGAACCCCATAATTTGGGGGGCAATCACACGTTGGGGGACCAAATCCTGCATGGGATATTTGTCCTCCACATCCAGGGGTACCCATTCTTCCCAATTCAATACATCTTTTACTCCACCCACGAGGCCATCCCTCCTCTTTTCCTCTACTCCCTAGAATCAGGATCCGGTAAGGACACCCACATTTCAATCCCCCTCATTTCTGTCCTTCTCAAAGTAACCAGGGCGTGTGATCAAGTGGGACAGAGAGTTTGTGTACCCGAATTCACCTCGCAGTGGCAGCTCCGACACTAGGGACCCCCAGGATAACCCTGGCAGCTCGTCCGCCCTCTCCACGGTCCAGGCTCGCTCCGCCCCGCCCCGCCCCGCCCCTCCAACCTCCCAACCAATCCGCTTCCTACTTCGGCTGCTTGCCGGGCTCCGGCCGCACTCGGTCCTGTCTCCATAGCAGCGTGGCGTCCCAAGCTCACTGCTCCCAACTCAGCGTCCGTAGCGAGCGGGGCCTGGAGTCTGCCCTTGTGATGAACGGTTTGAAAGGTCCACAAGCGGGTGAGAGGCGACGCGGTGATGGCCAGTTGCCCTCGCTTGGTCCCCGAATGCAGCTGGATCCAGCCTCATCTCGGACGTCCGCATACCCCGCTCCTGAATCCTCAAACTTCTCTGTCTCTCAAGGTTCGGACTCTGGGGCCCTAATGCTGCGGAGGCGCCACCGGAGAAGGTAGGATCCGTGAACCGCTGTAGTCAGGGCCCTGAGAGAGGTTTGTCTACTTGGTTGTGCCTGATAATTGGGCGGGACTGACAGGCGTGTCTACACCACGGTTCTACGACCTGACCTCTCCTCCTCTCCCCAAAGTGAAAATAGCCATGTTCCATCCCAGGGCTTCCTGCTCACTCCTCAGTCTTCTCCCTAGTCTCCAATTCCTTTGCTTATTTTACGGCTTAAATAAGCTTAATGGCTTATAGAAGCGAGCACCCCCTGGCTGTAGTTACATCCCTACTTGCTAAATATAACTTAGCTCACCATAAAATTGTCGGTGGAATTTGGACCTAATGGATCTGGTTTTCATCTTCTGGAAAAAGAAGGGTTCCGACAATGGCTTACCTCTAAGGTACAGCCTAGATGACTATCGACGTCCAAAATCAATACTGTAGTTTTTGGACTATTCAACTACTCTACTCTGAGTCTCTGTAGCAATTGCAGTAGTAGCACGAAGCATAATGATCAATTTATCGCTTGGCTTCTAAATGAATTGCTGAAGCTATTTTACCCCAAGAGAGCCCCTGAAAGTATTTTTTTTTAAGAGAGAGTGAGAGAGGAGAGAGAGAGAGAGAATTTTTAATATTTTTTTTTTTTTTTTAGTTCTCGGCGGACACAACATCTTTGTTGGTATGTGGTGCTGAGGATCGAACCCCGGCCGGGTCGCACGCAAGGCAGGCAAGCGCTCTACCGCTTCAGCCACATCCCCAGCCCATGTGAAAGTATTTTTTAAAAATAAATCTGAGACTGGGCTCAGTGGTGCTGGTGTGTAGTCCCAACTACTCAGGGAGGCCAAGGCAAGAAATTTGCTTGAGCCAAGGTTCAAGAACCATTTGGGCAACAGGGAGGCATGCCAGATCAAATAAATAAATAAATGAATGAATGAATGAATGAATAAGTAAATATCTTTTGATTTGTTTCTTCCTAAAAATCGAATACAATGATCCCAAAGTCCAGTTAAATAAATAAATGAATCTGAAAAATGTCTTTTGATTTCTTTCATTCTCCTAAAAATCAAATACAATGATCCCAAAATCCAGTTTATTAATTTTTTTCCTAATTGAAGTGGCTTGGGATTTTTTTTTAAATCTCCAGAGAACAATAGCAGCACTGCTTTTTAATTGTTAAGAATTTACCAAGGCATTGGTGGTTCAGTGGTAGAATTCTCGCCCGCCACGGGGGAGGCCCGGGTTCGATTCCCGGCCAATGCAAGCTTTTGGGGCTGGGGATGTGGCTGGCATGCGTGTGGTTCGGTTCTCAACACCACATACAAACAAAGATGTTGTGACCGCCAATAACTAAAGAATTTACCAGATCTGAGTTCCAACACCTTTGTAGGGGCTCCATTGCAATCATTCCAGAACTCTAAAGCTTTCTACGCACACCCTCTAATTAAGCTTCATCTCAGTGTTTCTCTCCATTCTTTGCCCTGTAGAGTGGCATTTGTGCCACTTAGAACTTGGAACTGGCTTCTTTTACCCAGTATACCTTCAGGACTATCCTTGCTGGGCTTTGGGTAATAACAATAGTAACAGAAGGAGTTGTAGTAATTATAATCCTACTAGGAGATAAGTGCTGCTATTATTTGTTATTAGCCATTCTATTATTTTGAATAATTACTCTATGAGGTAGGGGAGATTTTTTTCCTCAATTTATAGCTGAGGAACTGAATCAGAAAGCAGTTTAGAATATGCCTCAACATTATCCAGTCTGCTAAGATTTGAACATAGTTGGTCTGACTTTAAATTCTGGGTTCTAATATTATGTTGTTCTGTAAAGGAGAAAATATATAAAATTTATATCTAGCCACTTTTAAATGATTTTAAGTGATAGATGATCTTTCAAAACATTTTATACACAGTTGAGGCTATGCAATAAAACATTGTGCCTTCATCATGTTGTTTCTCCATTAAGTTCCTTCAGGATGAAGGATGATGATTAATGAGCTCATTCTCTTTTACCACAGTGCAGGGCCTGAACATGTAGCTGTCTAACTATGCATTCATTAGGTAGTTTATAAAAATGAAAAGTACAAAAGGATAGAATATTTTCATATTGAATCACATTGAACAGCAGAACTCCAGTTCAATTCTTTGCTTTGCTTTCTCCTTTCCTTCTAATAGACAATACATACAAAGTCCCTGTACTCATGAAACTCAGTCTAGTAAGGAAGGCAGGCAAAGAATGAATGAATACATGCATGCATATATGAAATTATGATAATCCCATGTTTGGCTTCATAAGAGACCTCCATTTTGCTTAAAGTGACTCAAGCTTATTTATTCTTTGTACCAAAACAACAATCAAACCCCAGCTGAACTAATAAGCCCTTTACTGGGATTTTTAGTTGTCAAGAAAGTACATTTTTCCTTAAAGCCTGGAATTATATCACATAAAACAAGAATTCTGGGAGCCATGTTTTGTACCATGTGTAGAAAACCTATCTGCAGTGAGAGAAGAATGAGGCCCACGTTCAGGAAGAAGCTGAGATAAACTAGGGGGAAAGGCTCCAGAGTCCTTGACACAGCTACATCCACTATGTCCTGTTCTCCACACAGCTTGAATGTTTAGCTCTTTCTTGGATTCTGTGAGAAAATGCTTTCCTTTGACTCAGATCAAGTCACTTTAAGAAAAATGGCTCCTATGAAGCCAAATATGGTATTGTCATAATTTCATTCATTCATGTCTATATTGATTCATTCCCTGTTTTCCTTACTAGACTGGTTTCATGAGTATAGAGACTTTGTATTTTTCATCTCCAGTGCTTGGTACCCTCAACATCACATAAGTTGCTGCTGTATAATTTGAGCATAGTTTCTGTGACTTACAACCTAAAGACCAGTCAATTAAATACAATTAACTAAAGAGTCAAGAACCAAGCATTTTTTCTTAGAAATAAGCCCATTCTGACTCCCACACAGCTATATCCTGATCCCCAAAGTACAATTTTTAATATAATGTACATTACTTATATAATGCCCAGAATATTTTAAAACATAATCACATAATTATGAATTTATAAATTATCTTGCTGTGTGTACTTTATATACTTATTGAATCAGATGTATTTATCTCCTGATTAATACTACCTATCTTTCTACATATGTCTTTTTTTAATATTTATTTTTTAGTTGTAGATGGACACAATATCTTTATGTATTTTTATGTGGTGCTGAGGATCGAACCCAGGGCCTCACACATTCGAGGCGAGTGCTCTACTGCTGAGCCATAACCCAGCTCCTCTACATATGTCTTTTAATATTTTTTATTCTTTATAAAAATAACTATCTCTGCTTTTCCCCAACTCCTTTCTCAGAATCATCCCTCCCAATTCTGTGGGCCTTTCTTTTTTAATTGTAAAAGCACTCTAAGGCAATCCGGCTATTTTATATCATTTAATAGCTTTATTCACTCAGTAATAACTGAGTGCCTTTGAAGTCATGTAGGATCCATACTCCTGAGTGAAAACCAATTTCTTCCCTTAAGAAACTTCTATCATGGTTATGGTCATTCTAACACTCTAGTCATAATCTGTCTACACACTTATTATGTGCTTTTCCTCTACCTGCTTTTTAGGTGTCACTTCCCAGGATTCTATCTTTGGCCTTATATTATTCCATATAGATGATGACAACCTTTCTCCCTTCATTTCTATATCCCCAGAGCTTAGCTCAGACATATTTCATACATAAGAAGTGCTCATCAAAACTTGTTTCTTTGTGTTAAGCATGCACTCTACCACTGAGCTACACCTCCAGCCCAAATGTTTGTTTGAATAGACATTGAATATTGCGTGAAAATTGGAAACTATCACAGTTTTTGTTTCCACTGTCACAGGAACTGTTGAAAGACATCAGGTGAGTCAACCCTATTCCAAAAGCTAGAGAGTGTACTTAGTAGAGATTCAAAGGGATAATTAAATGAGTGTCACGTTAACCATATCAATCAATAGTCATGAATATAGAGTGTACATCTTCAGACTGCTCTTTCTGGATACCATGTCTCCGATTTGAACAGTTCCAACTTGATGGAGAGGAGATTTAAGGTAACACAAGGCCAACATACTGCTCAAATGCCTGGAGGAGAAGAATAAACAGAGATGAAAATAATATTGCAAATTTTAAAATTTACCTGTATTTTGTGGCACACACTTGTAATTCCACAACTCTGGAGGCTGAGGCAGGAGGATCAAAAGTTTGAGGGCAGCCTCAGCAACATAGCAAGACCCTGACTCAAAACAAAAAAATAAAAAGTACTAAGTATGTAGCTCAGTGTCCCTGTCAATCCCCAGTACAAAAAAAAGAGTATTGTAAGTTACTGCATTTTCCCTGAAGTCAGTGAACTTTGTAAATAAGCATCAGCATTTGAGGGTTTATGTCATTTTTTAATTAATTAAAAGCCCTCATAAATAGTCCATCTCAGTCCCAGTGAGCTCTTATCAGCCTTAGAGGACATGTTGTCAGCTGTCCCTTTAGAAGAAACATCAATTCGTTTCTATAACATCCTTCCTAAGTGCCAGGCTCTGTGCTAAACTCTTTATCCAGATTACTCCAGTATATCTTTAAAGAAAAAAAATATATATATATATATAAAATTTGTAGGTGAACACAATACCTTTATTTTTATGTGGTGCTGAGGATCAAATCCAATGCTTCCCACATGCTAGGCAAGTGTTCTACCGCTGAGCCACAATCCCAGCCCCTCTTCATTCAATCTTTATCTCCTTTGTGATCCCTATTTTTCAGATGGAAGAACTAAAGCTTAAAAAGGTTAACTAATTTTCTCAGACTCACTTGGGCCATGTGAAAACAGATTCTCTCACCAAGAGACAGAACTCTTGAGTATTATACTATTTTGCCTACCAAGGAATTCGGTATTAGGAAGAGAAGTTAAGGGGAAACTTCCCAAGTAATAAAGTGATAAAGCTGGTCTGTCTCCATCAAGGGTTGGGATCTCCCATCTAGATTTTCCTTTCCCCAGGTGCAAATTGGGTGGGGCATTGCAATCCACAAGGATCCCAGAGTTAAAAAGGAGAGGAGGGTTCTAAATATAAAGGTGATGTTCCCCCTGTCCTTCAGGTACCCCAGGACTATGGAAATTTGTGGAATGAAAGTACCTCTCAGGAGAGGTCATCTTAAATTTCCTTTATTAAGTCTCACCCACGTCCCACGCAGGCAGGCGATGGAAATGGGGTTCCTCTGGGTAGAATGGGCTGGCTGAGAAATAAAAGCTAGGAAAAATAGAACAACGAAAAAACTGCAGGACACAGAAAATATTTTCAAAAAGCAGGGGTGGAGTGGACTAGCCGATCATGTAGATCGAGCGTCTGTCTATATTAATGGCAAAAGGGAGCCTGCGCCTGCTTTATTTATATTGGGGGACATCAAAGGCCTTTCATAGAATGTTCTCCAAAAAAAGTTACAGGTGGGCTGTCCAGTTCCCAATGTGTTACGCCCATCTCCCCAGCGACCATGAGAGATCATTGTAGCAGAGGGAAGATAAAGGTCGTGCCAAAGATATAGTTCCCCAAGGTTCAACCTAAAATCTCCCTGGCTACATGCCAAGACAAGATCCTCATGTGTTTTCCACAGATGGCTCCCCACAGTTAAGGCCTATTTAATTCATTCTTTCATTTATCTTAGAATTTGGTTTTCCACAACTGGTTTCCCCAAAAGATGCCTCACTTTTCTGATAGACTTTGACTCTCTGTGAGCTTCTCAGGAGGAGAATCAAGTTAATAACAAACTGTCAGGGTTCCCCAAAAAGCAAAGCCTGAGACAAAAGTATATGTACTACTGCTTTATTCAGGAGCATAAGTCCATGTGAAGGAGACAGATTTTTAAAACCAGAAATATAAAATAATGAAGTTTGGCTCTTATTGTTCATAGTCTTGGCCCTGAATTTTGTATGTCAGAAATCCTTAGGTATGTAATTATAAAAATTTGAAACATCTAGCTTGGAATGTGGGGCCAAGTGTTAAGAGGAAGCAACAAGTGAGTTGTTACTTATGGAAAATTTAAATGTGACCTCTTCCATGTTTAAAAAACAAAACCCTTAAGGCCTTTTCTCTACAATTAGAATGGTATTTATCCAGATATTGCAGGAAATATCGTGTCTTATTCTTGGGTAGCTTAGAAAGGCAAAAATCATAGAGAAAACATTTTAACTTTCAAGCATTAATTAACACACAAGGGAATTTAATGAGTAAAAAACATACTTAAACATGTATCTTCAGGTAAAATCAAACATCAATTTATAGGTATTTGTTTAAATAATACTTTATTAAAATACCATATCTTGAAATTTCATATTGCTCTAAACTCACACTCTAGAAAGTATTGTTTTATGGCACCAATAATTGGAATGTAGCTGAGAGTTTGATTTATATATCATGTTTTATTTTGTTGAAGTAGGGGAGAAAAGTGGTTTTGTAAACATGAGCTAAGATGCACTTGATGATTTCCATGGTCAGCTCACCGGGAGAGGACAGTCCTCAGCCAGCTGCTGATCGGATTTGAATCTAGATCTAGAGTCCAAGTTAGGTGAAATCAAACATGTAAAAGAATTAGAGGGTTAGTTAATACCACGCTTTTCTTCCATGGAAAATCTTTTCTCTTTTGGTACCAGGGATTGAACCTAGGGGTGTTTAACCACTGAGCTACATCCCTGGCCCTTTTTAAAATATTTTATTTAGAGATAGTCTCCCTGAGTTGCTTAGGGCCTTACTAAGTTGCTGAGGCTGGCTTTTGAACTCCAGATCCTCCTGCCTTAACCTCCTGAGCTGCTGGGATTACAGGCATGGGCCATCACCCCTGGCAGCAAAATCATTCCTATAGCTCTTTTTACATGAGAAAGGGAAGGAGTAATTTCTCTAGATTTTTCAAACTCCATATTGTAGTCCAGAAGAAAGAGGTTTTGTTAGGATGTAATTAATGCTAATAAATATAAAAACAAATAAACACTTAATAACCTACTGACAGACTGATTTCTGTGTTTTTATTTCTATTTTAAATTTATACAAGTATTTAGAAACTTATGAAGTAAATATTTTATTTTGTGCAGGAATTACCTAGACAAGGCAGATGCTACAAAGGTAAGAATATAAAAACTTTTTAAGAATGCTTTGGGTCTATTCTACCATCACTTTATATAGTTTTTAAATAATTGATTTTAGCATAAAATCACACTTTAGCATTCATAATAGAAATATTTATGCAAATGCTCTTAAACTATTTTCAAACACCTCAAATTAAAATAATAATGATAATGCTAGTTTTTATTCCTGCTTCTATTTTAGGAACCAAAAAACAGACAGAATGGCCGATTGCTAGTGTTTGATCCAAATGGTAAATTATTTATTACTTCTAATGTGTTTGATCATGATTCTATCCTAAATATTAATTAATAATAAGAATATTGGAATGTGATTTTATGATTTAGTAATCAAATATTTTGTTATATGTCATCCAAAAAAATCTTAAATTTTATTTCCCAATATGACATTTATATTTGCGGACATCACTGCTGGAAAAAATACTGTTTTTTCTTCTCTTTCAGAAAAAGTGATGCTTGAACCAAAGGAAGCAATGTCAGAGTAAGAAGATGTCTTTGGTTGTACAGCTGATCTGTCACAAGCCTTTTAAGCAATTAGAACTAGATAATGCAACCATTTGTCACCTAATTAAATTTGAAAAGCCAGAAATGCATGGGTTAGCACTTTAGTTTTTGCTTCAGTCAAAGTAATTGTTACTTAAATAGAAGGATATGTAAAATTAAAAATGAATTTTGATAAAAATGTAGAGGCATGGATAATAATCACTTCTATTTTTTAATGCTTAAATATCATGTATTCTGTATTTTACTTTTATAATTTCCATTGCTCATTCCAATTTCCCTGTGCTATTTGCTCATTTCTTTCAGAATATATCTGTTAGTAAATATTTAAACAGATTATTTTTATAACATGAATCATCATTACTAAAGGAAAAATCAACTCAACTAGCTGGTGAAATTAGTATTAAAAATCATAGTATAATGTCAATTTAATAGCCAAATATTAAGTACCAGCTCTAGTCAAAGCATTGATTTTAAAAATTTTTTAATGCCCTTCTTGATTATGTTCATTTCCTAACTTTTGAAAAATATCTATTATTTATTAAAACTTATAGTTTGAAAGTTGATCATAAAACACAAGCATAGAGATTATTGACAAGTTGGTAGGTACATTGTGATGGGACTGTTATACCCAGATTCATATTATTGGGGTTGGGTGTAGCTCTTGAGGAATAATAGAGATGTAGCTAGAATTTTTGAGAACCTGGATTCAACCCCCAGCACTGGAAAAAAAAAAAAAAACTGACATTATTTTGGTTTATTCTGAATATTATTGCCTGAAGAAAACTTCACTTTTTGCATCATATATTTTATTTTTTACTTTTGGAGCTAAAAATATTCACCTTTGCTTATATTGCAAATTTTATATGTTATATACTTTTAATGCATATTTTATATTAAAGAGAAAGAAATGCATAGCAAATCAATACAGAGGATTTATATTCAATGTCAAGTTACAACCAACTGGAGGGGAAAAAAAGCCTTGTTAAAAGACTATTACTCGGGCTGGGGTTGTGGCTCAGCAGTAGAGCATGAGCAACGCCCTGAATTCAATCCTCAGCACCATGTAAAAGTGACTAAATAAAAACAAAGGTGTACAAGTAAAAGAAATAAATTTTCTTTAAAAAAAGACTATTACTCTACACATATAGTTAATCATAAGTCATATACATCGTTGAAAACATTTAGATTTTAAAATTTAAGAAATATTTAGTTACTTTTGAGGGAAATATAAGATATAATTTTGAAAATGATAATTAGAAGTTAATAGATTTTTGTTGAAAATTAATTACTATTGTATCCATAAATCCCAAAATTCATAGATATGAACTGGAGCAGGGGTAGTCCACATCCCAAGGTAGATGAAGCACAGGGATAAATCAATGCAGCCTAGGACAATATAGAAAAGCAGAGTGACCAGTTGTTCTCTTGATCTCAATAATAATTGCATTTAACTATCAAACTCCTTTTTACAAGAACAAAATGATCAATCACAAGGGAAAGGTGGTTAATGTAGCCAGTAAGTTTCACAAATATGTGGCCTTGCCACCTCTGTTACCTCACCCCAAAGTTAAAGGTGAAGGGATAGTCTTTGAAAAAAATAATCAAGTAATAAAATACTAAAATGTGGGGTGACCTTTGCTGTAAGAAGATTGTGACTGATCAGCAATGTTGATGAATTTTCTCAGTGGAGCTTCTATTACACTTTCTACCCCACATGGCTTCATTGTCTGACTAGATAAGTAGTATTTGCCAAAAGGTCCCACCTAGGTTGAATTAGGAAAAACTAAAAGTGTTCTCTCTTCACCAGATCTTTGCCCTAATCTGATTAAGACTCCAGTCCCAGCCACAGGGGAAATGACAAGCAAATTCATAGCACCCAACTCTTTGACTATAGTGGAAAAAAATTTTATCAATAGGGGTTTTTTTGTTATGTAATCATGTTTTATCATATTCTCTGAAATGAAAGACTATTTTTTATTTTAACTATTTTTTTTAATCCCCATTTTCCACTTTAAGTAAATGCCTTTATGGACGCAGACCAAGATTGGCAAGCAAACATTACACTTCACAAACACAGGTCTCTCAAAGTGTAGCTAAGACCTTCTCAGAAAAGTAAATTTTAGTTAATTTGGGGTTTTGGCACATGTTTGAGCAATATAAGTCTTTTTTAATTTTGTTTTTGCTTTTTCAGCAAGCTTTTCTTTATTTAATATAAAGCAGCAGAGTCAATCAGTCAAATCTCTGGCATGGCTCATTTTTAGGACTGAAAATGGCAATATAAATCATTTTAAGACCAAGTTTAACATATAAGTTAAAAGAGTATTAATTCCAATAGAAATTTGGGAACATTTTCTAAATGTACCCAAGTGTTCTTTACATACTAAGAAAAAAAAAATCTAAAACCTAGGATATCTACCTTCCAACATAACATGTTCCCATGGTACATCTAAGATAATTTACTCTGTATATAGATTTAATAATTACTAAACACCTCCCATTTCCAAAGGATATTATTACAGAGAGTAAAAATTTGAATCTTTTTTGGTTGTGACTATTTAATTTAATAAAAACTGATCTTTTGGGTCTGGGGTTGTGGATTAGAGGTAGAGTGCTTGCCTAGTTTGCATGAGACACTTGGTTCGATCCTCAGCACCACACAATAAAAAAATAAAGATATTATGTACACCCATAACTAAAAAATAAATTTTAAAAAGGAACAAAGTCCCCTGATCTTTTGGAGTACACTAGTTATCTAATTTTCTTAAATGTTTAGGGGCTTTAGTACCATAAATGTCATACTTTCTCACAGGGAAATCAATAGATTTTTGTTGCAGAGAAGGCTGAACTTCCAGCTTCTCATTCTTTGAAATTATATGAGAAAGAATGCATGAATTGAACAGAAAAGAGTTTTATACTTTACTGTTAAAGTCATGATTTGGCACAGTGGTGACACCTGTAAGGAAGGCTGAGACAGTGGATCACAAGTTCAAAGCCAGGCTCAGCAAAAGTGAGGCTAAGCAACTAAGTGAGTCCCTGTCTATAAATACAAAATAGGGCTGGGATGTGGCTCAGTGGTTGAGTGCCCCTGAGTTCAATCCCTGGTTTCAAATAAATAAATAAATAAAATCATGAATTGGTCCGTTCTCATGTAGGTGTTTTTTGTTTGTCAGAATCACTGCTTCCAAATACAATATACCATTTATTTTCAGGCTATTGAGTGTGTTGGTCACCTCTATGTGTGTTTCATTAGGGTTATTAAAGACATTGCCAATTATTCAAATACCCAGAACTATATTATTAAATTCCCTTACTTATGGATATAACTTAGTGACTATAGAAGTACCATAGATGTAAACATTCTTAGATCTTCTTTTTTTTTCATATTTTAACATCTCTTAAAATTGATGTCATTTTATACTTATGTTTGGCAGTATTTTTCCTTTCTTGGTGGTACATAAAGCAATGATATGTTGATAATAAATAGATGATATCTTAGATATCATGAATAAAATAGTATAATTCAGTGAAGAAAAAAATATCAAAGCCTTTTTATCTGCATTAGACATTAGAGCCTACAAATTCTAGTAATCACTTTTGGCATAACAGGAATCTCATATTCCAGAAATGGAATGTTTCAGTGAGTTTCCAACTTTTTATATGTAGAGTTTTCTCCTGGATACATTTGTAGACAATTAGAAAATCAAGGGGGCAGAGGCAAAACAAATGTAAATTATCTTTGCTGTATATGTTCATTTCCAGCAAAGGGTTTTGATTTAGATCCAGTATACTGAGGAAGTAAAGTTTCATTCCCTCCCATAATAAGGACTATAACAAACTGGTCAACCTACTTGCTAAATCAGAGCCTAAGACCACGAACTCAGCCACTAATGTTCTGGATTCATATTTCAACACAGAAAAAACAGAGCCACAATATTTTGGGGAAAATAATATTTTACATCTTCTTATATCGAGTTTGTTAAAACTTTTAAAAAAATATTTAGTTTTTGTAGTTGGACACAATACCTTTATTTTATTTATTTTATGTGGTGCTAAGGGTCGAACCCAGGGCCTTGCACGTGCTAGGTGAGCGCCTACCACTGAGCCACAACCCCAGCCCTTGTTAAAGCTTTTCAAGTGAGACAAAGACCTCAAAAAAGAAATGGAGAATGGGTAGTTTTTCACAAGCATGGGTGCTACCTTTGTGAACAGAGCACACCACATAAGAATCCCTTATCTCAGTGCATATTTATTGACACGGGTTTGGGCTTAAAAAAAGAAAGTTAATCTCTTTTTAGTTCAGCTCCCTGATGAAAAAAACAATTTTATATTATGATCAAGGGTTAATATTAGTGTTGGACTTCCTCCATAGTATAGCATATAGCAATGGCATGAATCTATTTATAAACATTTTTTTTAAAAAACTCAAGGTTAATTTTCTTAATTTTATACTATCATGACACAATGATGTACCAATGACATTTATATAACTAATTCCTATGTACTTTAACTCTGGAAGGATCCTAGGAATTGTTACATAGTAACAAATGCCAGGCAGAAATAGAACTTTTCTACAAAGAAGATATTACCTTTTAGCTATTTAAGGCTATTGCTGGAATATATATATTATATGCTTATATTAAATGTATGTTTATGAACCCATATAAAGTATTATACAGAATTCTGACTAGGAAAATTTTTTTTTACTATCTACTTTAACATGTAGGAAGAAAGTCTCTTCAAAAAAGATTGAAAATAAAGTCTCTTTAAAGAATGCTGAAAAAAGAGTATCTTCAAAAAATATTAAAAATAAAGATTTTTTAACAAATGTACAGTCTGACCAATGGCCATCTTCTTTCTTAAAAGAAAGTACAGGTAATAGCATTTGTCTTACTGAATTAAGTGATTGTAGCTTCTAATTTAAACCTCTTTCCAGGACCCTGGGGAGTTGACAACACTCTAGGTCTAAGGTGGGGCCTGGGAATTGATAGTTTTTCAAACTCAGGTACTTGGTGATTCTGATACGCAGTGAGATAGAGGATCCCTGAGTATACCTTATGAGATGATATTCTAAGGCATTCAATCCTTGCATGGATTTAAATACCTATGAGAGCATTAACAAGTTCTATTTGCTTAACCATGATTGAAAACCAGAGTGCCAGGCATTAATTTAGAAGCTGTGAATACAATAGTTGGCAAAATAGGCAAAGTTCCTACACTTATAAAGTTCACACTGTAGTGTAAGCATCCTTATGCTGGTGAGCTGTTATTCACTAGGGTGACATAAATAATGATAATGTACTATAAATTTCAAAAAGCTAAAAGGAATTTGAATATTTTCACCATAAATAAATAATAAATGTTTGAAGAGATATGTTTTACATGATTTAAACATTACACGATGTATACATGTACCTAAACATCACATGAAACCTCAAAAATATGTGCGATTTTGTCAGTTCAAAATAAATTTTAAAAAATAAGTAACAGTAAAAAACCACAAACATGCAAGATCATTTCAGGGTTTGATAGGTGCTACATTTAGATAAACAGTACCTGGGAGAGGATTATTTTAGATTTAGAGAACAGGAAACTTCCCCATAATAACTGAATTGAATGAGACAGTGCCTGTGACATCATAGGATGTCTTTAGTTCCTTATTATGACCTTCCTGATGACATCAGTGTGGTGAGCTGGTGCACATACTGGTGTATACTGGAAGATCAAGGTGGTTGTGAGCCAATGGAGACTATGAATGAAACAGAAGCAGGTTAGATGGACAGCTTGAATAACACCATTGTCATTCTCCTGGAAGGGCTTCATAGCCCTTTTCAGGATAGCACTCTTGGCTTAGGAGTCAGGAGTTTCATTTTATTTCATTTGGTCTGTGTTTTTCTAACCTATCTTCTCTGGAGCTCTCTTGGATTTCCTCCTTTTCTTCTTCCTGACATAGTGTTTATATAATTTTTTAGAAAGTAGCTCATGGCTACACTCCCATTAAAAAGGCCCTTTCCCAAGGTGTCCCAGGCACTCAAAATCTTACAAGAAAGGGGTGGGTGTAACACAAGATCAGTCTGAAACTGAAAGACTCCATAAAGCCAAAGGAGTCAGGCTCACTGTTTTTCAAGGAGCTATTTTAGGAAACACGTGGTAAACATTTTTAAAAATGAATACTAGTATATTTTAATATTTTTTGATGTACATTAGAAAGAAACATAAGACAGTTAAGAACATGGACTCTGGAGCTAAACTGACTCCCAGAAGAATAATTTATTTCACTCCTCTGTCCCCCAGTGTTTTCATCATTAAACAGGAACAAAAATTGTAATACCTCACTGGGATTTTTATATATATATATTTTCAGTTATAGGTGGACACAATATCTTTATTTTATTCTTATATGGTGCTGAGGATCAAACCCAGTGCCTCACGAATGCCAGGCAAGTGCTCGACCCCTGAGCCACACCACCAGCCCTCACTGAGATTTTGATAGATTAATATCTGTAGTGTTCAGAGGCTAGATTGTTGGTCATTATGATTGTTTTTGTTTGGTGATTATGTTAATTTAGTATATCAGTTTTATGGATGCTAATAGGGTCTGGCAAAATTTAACTTCTAAACTTTTCATTGTTTATTGCTTAAATTATATTCTGTTTTAGGTGAAGAGGGCAAAGACACAATTATTGCAAAGCAGGAGAAAAATAATGAACATTGTGTTCAGGGTATTGATAAGTTGTCGGAATCAACTGATGCTGATGGTGAGGATGATACCAGTGATGAAGATGATGAAGACAGTAACCCTAAAAAGGATACTCGTGCCCCATTAGAGTTGATGGCAGAAGTAAGTTTTACTTATGCATTACAATTTAAGAAACTTTAAAATGCTGAAATAACTAATGGTCTTATTACTAAGTAGATTAAGAAAATTAGTACGTATTCATCAAGTAAAGTTTTAAAAAATCAATAAAAAAGATCCTTGCCCAGATATAAATGCTCACCTCTTCATTGGGTTAGAAGTAAAAGAAGGTTCTGAAAGTGTTAGAAGTAAAAGAAGGTTCTGAAAGTGACATACAGTATTCTAGTGAGGCAGAGGCAGGAATAAGAGAAGTCATGGTGCCCTATAAGGACTGCTGGAAGGAATGTGTTCTACATACTGGGTACTATGCTAGTTGCTGGGCATATAGAAATAAATAAGAGAGAGACATTCTGTCCTTGAAAACAGGCACATTTAGAAATAGTTACAACACATTGAAACACATGCTAATGAAAGTGTTTATGAAGTTCCCTGGGAACAGGAAGACTTAAGTGACTGAGAAAAGAAGCAGGAAGAACAGGGATAAGAGAAGGATTTTTAAGAGGGAGAGACATGAGTGGAATCTTAGAAACTTAAAGAGGAGAATATAGAAAATCAACTGATAAACAAGATTTCAAAAATATGAACAACAGCTGCATATTATACTGATTACATTCTCTAACCATGATCAGTGAAATTAGGCATTATAAACAAAACTAATTAAAATCACTTAAAATATATTCTTCTAAGTGACACTTGAATTAAAATGAGAAATCAAAAGTAAACTTAATAATTTGGAAAATAGTGATAACCACAACATTACATATTACTATTTTAAAAAGAGCTTAAGGTTTTAAATGCTTCAATGATGGTGATGATGATGATTAAACTAGTAAGAACAATAAAGGAACTGGGGCTGGGGATGTGGCTCAAGCGGTATCGAGCTCGCCTGGCATGCGTGCAGCCCAGGTTCGATTCTCAGCACCATGTACAAAGATGTTGTGTCCGCCAAAAAAACTAAAAAAAAATAAAAAATAAAAATAAAAATAAAACAAACAAAAAAGGAACTAAATATCAATGCTAAAAACTAGAAAAATAGAAAACATAATAAAACATGAAAAAGAAAGAAAAATAATAATTCAAAGTAAAAATGAAATTAATATATCAAGAGCTAGGTATTTGAAAAAATAATGTACAGATAAACTGATAAATATCATAACTACAATGGAATAAAATCACAAATAGGAATGAAAATAAAAATATCTTAGACAAGAATAGAATTTAAAATATAAGAATTCCATTGCATGAATCGATATAGTTTTTATTAATATGCAAATAAATGAGATTTTTGGTGAAATTAGTGAATAATAGAAAAATCTCTAGAATTGTTCTACTTATATCAGAAACATATTTTTAAAAACTTCAAGGGGGAAACTGAAAAAAGTAATAGAGAACTTCTTCTTAAAATGGTACCTGGGTATTCATCATGCATCTGGAAATGCCTGAGAAGTGTTTCTTAGTTCTCAGTGTCCCTGTCTCTTACTGAGTAAAATTCATGTACCTGCGTGTAGTCCAGATGTACCACACTCAAGCAGGAACAATTATCAAAAAGTATTAAGTTTTGTGGTTTTTTTGTTTTGTTTTGTTTTTTTAACTGGAAGCAGAGTAAAGAGCTGGGCATGGTGGCGCACGCCTGTAATCCCAGCAGCTTAGGGAGGCTGAGGCAAGAGGATTTCCAGTTCAAAGTCAGCCTCAGTAATTTAGCAAGGTGCTAAGCAACTCAACAAGACCCTGTCTCTAAATAAAATCCCCCCAAAAAAAAGTGGGGAGGGGTGCTGGAGATGTGGCTCAGTGGTTAAGTGCCCCAGAGTTCAATTCCCAGGACCCCCCCCCCCAAAAAGTTAATGACAGGGGCCAAGGTTGTGGCTCAGTGGTAAAGCACTTGCCTAGCATGCATGAGGCACTGGGTTCAATCCTCAGCACTACATATAAGTAAAAACAAATAAAATAAAAGTATTATGTACATCTACAACTTAAAAAAAGTTAATGACAAAAAAATTCATCTAGTAAATTGTAGGCTAAATAAGTAAAAAAAAAATATGTAATATTTAATGCTAGACTGGGTGTGTAGCTCAGTGGTAGAACACATACTAAGCATGATAAGCATGAAAGAGACCCTGGGTTCAGTCTCCAGTACTCCCCTCCCTACCAAAATAAGAATATTAATGCCATGGGGAAATAATTATTTATTAAATAATTACTGAATAATCCTAATTTTTATAAATATATATGTGTTTATTTATGGGCAAAACTAAAAGGATATACATGAAGATGTTAAACATCTCCAGATGGTAGAAATATACGTGCTTCTTAATAGAGAACATAATGTGTTAATTTAGCTTTTAAATTTCCTACATTACAAATGTGTATTACTTTAACAACAAAAATAGTATAAGCAAAACTAGATCATATAGAAGCAGTGCTGGAAAATATTGAATGTACATAATTGTTAAGTCCATAATTATTCTTTTCAACTAAGAACTGTTATGTTGTTATGAACTACATTCACACATGAAATCTACATCTAAACCAAAGGAATATTCAGATAAAGTAATTGAAGTATTTACTATGTGTGCCAGTCAAATCAACCTATGTTTCTTAAATGACTCGGTAGTATGCACACAATGTGGCTGCAACAAAGCAGAGGTGGCACACTTATTCCAAGTTGCCCTGCCACCCAAGAGACTTACATATCCTCAATTAATTAATTGATTGTAGACTCACTCCTAGAAAAGTGTATGTGTTAAAAGCCAAACAACTAACCATTAATGGAGTATTTTCTAGGGAATTTATAATTGACAATTAAATTCTCTCTGAATCTACTTACATCCGACTAATTTAATGTTTTCCAGTTCCTGAGAGCAGAAATGGGCCGAGACTATCATCTTGCAAAAAAATTATGTCAGATGAGTAAGTACAAAATGCTTTCACATTTTCCAATATTCCTTTTGTTTCTAAAAATAAATTCTATCATATGTAAGATGGTTCCATTATCCTAAGTCTAATTCCCTACTAGTGTCTCAGTGGCTCCTTTGTAGTGAATGGTTAATTAATATAAGGATTAATTTAGATTTCTAGAGTAACTTTTAGCGACATAAACTAATGTAGACTAATTATCACCACTGGAAAATAAATCAGAATCCTTACCATCATGATAAGCGAATAGTACCTTTATGCTTTTTGTTTCAAAGAAAAGTCAGGTGCTTTAGCTGTGGAGCTAGCCTATCTGAACATGCATTATTCCACCGATGTTGGAGAGCCTGGGTGTGCCAGGCACCATTCTAGACACTGGAAATAGAGCAGCCAACATGATGGAATAACAGTCCCACGTTTATGCCTACTGTTAGATAGATAATAACTAAATTGTGTGTCATAAATGCTAGATGCTTTGGAGAAAGACTAAGTTGGAAAGAGGGACTAGAAGGCACTGGGAGAAGACAAGGTAGTTTTCAGTAGGCTGGAAGGCCTCCCTGAAAGAAGTGTGCATGTCAAACAGCACGCCTGCTGGCAGCAGCAAGAAGTCCTATGTACCTGCAGCAGAAGAGCAAGGAAGTGTGGCAGGTGCGGAGGTCAGAGAGATCTGAGAGGTTTGGCACAGACTATGCACACTGCATGGGACCATTTGTCAATTCAGAGACCTTGGCTTGTCGCTGAGTGAGATGGGAAAGCACTGGAGGCTTTTGATTCCAGGGGAAATGATCTGTCTTCTCTCTCTCTGGTTTTTAGTGGTTTGACTTGTTGAAGATAGTTGTGGTTCTGGACTGGGGTGGTAGCTCAGTGGTAGAACGCCTGCTTCACACCTGTGAGGCATTAGGTTTGATCCTTAGCACCACATAAAAATAAATAAATAGATATTGTGTCCATCTACAACTTAAAAAAATTTTTTAAAGGTATTTATGGTTTTCTTGGTATTTATCCTATTGGGAAGGTTTGCTGAGTTTTTAAATCTGTGGGTTGTTGTTTTCATCAACATTGAAAGGTGCTTGGCCATTACCTTTCCTCATACCACTTCCACCCTATTCTTTCTTTTTCTTCTCTTCCTGAGATTTCAGGAATTCAACTTTTTTTTTCATGAAATCCCACATGTATCTTTTACTTAGTTCTGTTTTGTTTTTATTTCTCCATATTTCTGTTCTTCAGTTTGTGTATTTTCTTTGTGTGTGTGTGTGTGTGTGTGTGTGTGTGTGTAAACACAATACCTTTATTTAGTATTTTTTTATGTGGTTCTGGGGATCGAACCCAGTGCCTCATGCATGGTAGGCAAGCACTCTACCACTGAGCCATAACCCCAGCCCAGTTTGTATATTTTCTATTGACCTTTTTTGGGGTTTACTTATCCTGTTTTATGCTGTGTCCAGTCTGCTATTAAAACTATCCAGTGGGCTAGGGATGTGGCTCAAGCGGTAGCGTGCTCGCCTGTCATGCGTGCGGTCGGGGTTCGATCCTCAGCACCACATACAAACAAAGATGTAGTGTCTGCCAAAAACTAAAAAATAAATATTAAAAAATTCTCTCTCTCTCTCTCTCTAAAAAAAAAACTATCTGGTGAGTTCTTAATGTCAAAGACTGTATTTTCCAACTTTTAAATGCCCATTTAATGATTGGAAAGATTTCAGCTCTATACTAACATACACCATCTTTCCAACTACTTTGTCCATATTTCCTCAAATATTTTAGTCAGAGTTATTTTATTATATATATATATATTGATATAGGACCATTAACTAGCAGCTGACTTAAATTAAGTCAATAATAAATCCCTTGAAGTGAAAATGTAGTGCAGGGATTGTGAGGGTCTATCCTCACTTGCCTGAGTCCCCACTATGAACACAGAAGTAGATTGGCTAGTTTTAAAAATGGGTTTCTTGAATCCTTTAGCACTACTTATTTCATATCAGAAGTAAACAGCTTGTCCTGTTTAATCCTATAGAGTATTTTTAACCTATTTAATAAAATACTTTGATCAAAGCTATTTTTAGAGTCCCACAAACAGAATTTTCCAATCAGAAGGAATCTTCAGAGAAGATAATGTACAGTGACTTTCTATAGAAGAAGCTGAAGCAGAGAGGGGTAAACAACTGGCTTGGCACTACTCACGATGACAGTGACACAGACAGAATGGAAACCCAAGCCTGCTTTTCCTACACCTTTCTTTTCTCCAGTGGCTTATGTAAAACAGGGGACTCTGTTCCACTCATTCTCCATTCTATGAATTTTTTTCTGGAAACTAATTGTGGAAAATTTTATGTATTTTTTATTTCTCTATCCATCAGTCATTTTAGAAAGCTTCTGGCTAAAGTTTATAAAATATATGTACTGTCAGTCTGTTTTGGCTATGAGCCCTGCAGAATGCTACATAAACAGCAGGTGCTCAATAATTACTTGTCAGCCTGACTCAAACCAGTGATTGTACAATAAATACCAGGTCAATGGGGTTGAAACACTTCAAATTTATCTATGTTCATGGATATATCCCTTTAAAAATATCCTTCCTCCATTTCTCCCACTCTTTCTTCTTTCTTTCTTTCTCTCCTTCCAACAAGTACATATTGAGCACCTTCCTCCAACCCAGACATGCTGGGAGACGGAGAGAAAGCAGGAGCCAGGGCACACATAGCTCTCAATCCTCTGGGGAGTCACTTTAAACTTAACATGTCTATAGGCTCACACATTCACACTGTCCCCTCTTATAGGTCAGTGTCAAATAGTGGTGCCTCTAAAATTGAGGATTAGACTACAAGAAGAGTGGTTAAGGTCCCCACCAGACACCAGGATCTAGGGTGCCTGTAAGAACGCTGCTTCTAGGAGGAAGAAGGGTTGACTGGAAACATGGGCAAAGAGGCCCAGAAGTAGGGATGCATGGGTTCCCTCGCAGAACAGGATTGCCTGCTTCTGAGGCAGATTCCCAGCTGAGGGTGTGAAGTTAGGGAGGCCCAGAGTCTGCAGTGCCAAGCCAGGTCAAGGGAAGAACCGAGTTCTCAGGGAGAAAAAGCACTAGTTCTTTGCTGCTATTAGGAACATGTGATTGGGGGCTATTCCATAACTTTCTCTGTATTTATGGCTGCAGACAAAATGAATTGTTCTTATCCAGCATGGACCCCACATACTTTATATATAAATGCTTATAGTATAGATATTCTTGTCTGTCCCTTTTATCATATTCTAGCTTCCCTACAAAATACCTGCTTTGTGCTTGTGCTCTCCCTCTCTCTCTCTCCCTCTCTGTCTCTCTCTATGTATATATAGATAGATAAAGATAGATAGATAGATAGATAGAATTTGTATGTGTGTATTTTTATTTTTTATTTTAAAAATATTTTTGGTTGTAGATGGACACAATACCTTTAATTTATTTACTTACTTATTTATATGTGATGCTGAGGATCAAACCCAGTGCCTCGTATGTGCTAGGCAAGTGCTCTACCACTGAGCTACAACCCCAGCCCTGTATTTTTATTTTTAAATGTATAACCTTTGACATCTGTAAGTGTAGTTATATATTTACATATTTATGCATTTATATATATATATATGTGTGTGTGTGTGTGTTGAATACCTACTATAGGAACATTCTTGAAGAAACAGTGCTTAACACTCAAAACAGTTTTGTGAGAATCATTAACTCTACAGAGGAGGAAACTGAGGCAAAGCAAGACCTAATTCATACAAGGTCAAATGGCTCCTAAATAGTAGGATCATATTCCAAGTCTAACTCGAAAGTCTGTCATTTCCATACTCCATTTCAATTTTCTCATTTGGTTAATAAGCTTATTTTTCTGGTAAAGGAGGCAAAGGCTTGGAAAATAAATATTTTCATGGATCTGTTAGGCTAGAAATGGGTCCCATGATTGAGGAATATATATTTTTCTTTGTTTATACCAAGAACAATTTATATAAAATAATGCAACCTTATCCCTTCAAAAGTGTACACAAAACTCATTTTCTTGAAAGAAGCCCCTGGTTCCTGGGGTGGTCCCTTGAAGTCCAATTGCAAGCTAGTCTTATATGATTTTGTCTGACTGTAGGGCATCCCATCCAGCATCTAGGCACCCACAGCTTTTTTTCTCTTTGCCTGCCTTTTTAAAAATCTGTGTTGGGTTCCTTCAAAATATTGTATCTATCGACATAGGCTTGAATTTCTTCTGTCTTCCACACATTTTTTATATAGTCCTAATCGTTCCTCAATCATTTTCCTGCTGTCTCATGCAGAACTTATATTTCTGCTCCATTTCCTGTCAGGCAGCAGGGGCAACCTGGAAAAAAATGGTTTTTAAATGGGACTGGAAGTCAAGGGTCCAAAGTACTTTTCTTCATTCATTTTGTTCATGACTGCGGTTTTTGTGCCAATCAATCTCCCTATTTCTTGGTCACTTCACCTGTAAGTGAGAAAATTGCAGCTCAGTCTTCTCAGGACACATCAGTTCTGCTCACAAGTAGCTAGAGATTCTACACACAAAAAACAGGAAAGTGCTACAAGATCTATATCATGAGTTTATAACCATTGCAAATAGTAACGAACAATGGCTTGAAACCCAAACAGTTCTCATTATTGTAGCTCTATTTTGAATATAGATGTATCTTCAGAAAAGATGGTTCTTATAAAGCTGTTTGTTTTCAAGTAAAATAAATGATCCTTTTCTATTAGCCTACAGTATTACTTTATTTTGGGGTTAAAAAAAAAGCCTGCTTTGTTCTCATTTGTCTATATTCACTTATTCCCCTTTCTAATGTTTGAAGGCTCCTGCTGCATAGCAAGCACTCTGCTGGGCATGCAACAGTAAACAAGACAAGTGTTTTCTGCCCTGAAATAGCTCCAATCTGTTCAGCCCCATAGCATTAGAAACCCCACTTCCCCACATGAGTCCTGCAGTCAGAAGAAGCACCCACTGAATGTTTGAAAAGATATCAAACAATCCTCTAGTCCAAGAACCATTCCAGGAAAACTAATAATAACCAATATTTATTCAGCACTTACCATGCACCAAGAACTGGACTGAGTACTTAATATTATCTGATTGATTCATCCAAATAGCCCAATATGGCAGATATTATTACAGAAAAGGAAATTGAAGTACAACCATATTAAATATGGTAGCAGGACCAGAATTCATATCGGGAAGTCTTTCTCCAGGATCCTTAGTGGGCAATGCTTCCATTATGGAGCCCAAGTTGGAAAACAACCCCTGGACAGAAACTGCATGTGCTAGATGCTAATCTCAACTCTTTACACACCCTTCTAGGCTGTGATGTAAGAATTTTTTTATCAATTTTTAGAATAGTTATTGCTGGGCCAAGTTTCAAACCAGATACCTTTCCCTCACTCTCTAAAAATTGATAAGTGCTAGCTAAACTTACACTCCACTCCAATCCCTGAAAAGAATCCAATTGCAACAATAATTTTCTAAACTAGTTCCAAGTAATAGCTTAGGGTTTATTAGTAAGTGTTCCACAAAAATGATTCCATTGTCAAATAAATTTGGATAAATCACATTTGCCTCTCTAATATTCATAGCAGTTTTGAACATCTGACTGGTTCTGTAAATTCCTGTGATTACTCCTTAGAGTAAGTTTTTCCTGATTAACTTTCTTTAACCTAGTATCCCAAATATGTATTAAGAATCTAGTATCCAAAGAAGCAAGTTGGAGAAATCCCACTCTAGAAAGAGGCTTAGCCTCAGAGAAAAATTTAGACTAATGATAAGTATATTTAATTTCAAGTTAAATGCATAATAAAGGTACCTTATTAGAAAGCTTATATGTATGTATAATAATTCATAAAATACCTGGGATCCTTAAAGGCAGTTTTTGACCAGGCATACAAAAATGTATGTTATATTAGTTGATTAGGAAATAAAGTCACTGGTTTGACATGTCAAGATGAAAGCCATGAGTCAATGGAGCCTTGAACCTTCCACAATTCTCTTTCTTTTAGCGAGATGAATAGCACACTTGATGTTTCAGTGCCCCCTGGGGGCCACCAAGATATTGCACAAGGAGTCATTCAATGGATGATACAGAAAGAAATAATGAATACTCCTCTAGGCATGTAGGAATAAGGAAGAGAGATTGAGCTGTAGAGAGATTTGAAAACCAGACACTAGAAAATTCTGGAAAGAAATCTGGTATCTAGCACATAGATAATATACCAACAAGCCTTAAAAAGTCCAAAGTATGGTCCAAAGGAAGGACAATAGTCACCTAAGGCAAAGGGAATAAATGGGGCTCAATGAAGAGGGGAGAGTACTGTTAAGCAGGTGATGACTGGTGAGTAGATTAAAGTTCTCAAATGAAGGGAAAGAAGCAGCGTCAGTTTTCCCTATGCAAAAGATGTTATTTAAAAGTGGCACCTCTACAGAAGGGGTCGCACAAAGAAAACTCCTTTCCTTTGTGCTACATGAGATCTTCAGCAAAGGATGTCATGCAGATACTGATGGATGAGATGAGGGATTACAGACATATAGGCACACTGTCTTTTCATTATCAAACTCTCCACATTTGCAGGATTTGTACACTCTTTGGAGAATGATTCTATTCATGAAACACTTTGGCTACTGGCCTATTAGGGAAGCCATATTAAAGTGATGGAGATTGTATTATTTGGTTAGGAGGTAGAAAAATATAATAAGGATAATTTCTCCAATAAAGCACCAAATATAAGTGGAACATTTTCTCTATTTGTACCTGGATCTATCTGTGGTATAATTGTTGAAGTTTATTGCTTTGTACGTTTCTACCTGCTCTGACTGACAGTTTCAATCTCATTCTAAGGATCCTGTTTGTTGAAACACTGTGAACCTTAATAACACACATTCTGTTGTCCATTTTCAGTCCTAATCTATGAACCAGAAAATCCTGAGGCCAAGGAGTTTTTATCACTTATTGAAGAAATGTTGCTGATGGGTAATTTTTAAAATTGAAATTCCTTTTTTTCCCATAGAACTATGGGCAGTCAGTCTTTAAAAACCCATTATCTCAGGAAATTGTCAAAATGCATCATCACAAGTGGTTAAGAAATAGCTAAATGGCCGAATCAAATGGTTTAGTAAAATCAGCTTGTCCTCTGTGGATAGAAAAGAGGACCCCTTTCTCACTATGGGGTGGAACTGCCAAGGCTCCCTGGCTGTGAGGCATTTGGTATAGGAAAGAGAACATGCTAACCACCTTCATGTGTTGAAGGGATGTACCATGATTTCCAGGAAAGCCAATAGCCTCTTAATTACCCTAAGTCTCAGTCACTCTAATTCTATTTAAGAATTTCTTTGACAATAGTACAAATGATTTTATAGACCTATATTTTAACTTAACTTTAAACCTACAAACATCTTCATGCCAGTAATAGTATATTTCCCACTTGTTCTACTACTTTGATCCCCTATGTATGGTTAGTGAAGTTCAGCTTGATTCTTCTGTTCAGAAATACATATTTCTTGGTAGGGGGAGGGGTAAGGAGCATTATGGTTTATGTGTTTGTTTGTTTGACTGACAATATCAAGAAACATTTGAAGTACTTGCTTCCTTTCTATGGCAGAGAAAGCTCAGAATCTCAAGGAAGATGAGGAAGACAGCGAAGAGGACAGCAGTGGTGAGAGCGAGGGAGAAAGCAGCGAGGACTTGAGTGACGAGAGTTCTGATGAGTGTGAAGATGGATCATGAAGGTCACTGGGTGGCTTCAGCTTTGTGTATTTTCATTATTGTATACCATGCACATATAAAGAAGGAGAGCTGCATCTTTGTCTATTGGTTCTTTCTTTGGTATAGAGAGTTCTTTTCAGTTATCCATAATCTTAGTTGGAGCTCCTTCCTAATATTTAAGCCTTTATTCAATATGAATTAGGAAACAGTATGTGCCAGGTACTGTGTGCCCTGCACACATTAGTATTTAATTGAACAACTCCATGAACTTGACCCATTCTACAGATGAGAAAACTGAGATGAAGAGAGGGTAAGTAGCTTACCTAGCCTCTTGTGCACCTATTAATTTGTACAGCCTAGATGTAGATGTGGACATTATGACTCCAGAAGCTATATTTTCAGTCCCCCATGAAGGACCACCACATCAGGCACATTTATGTCATTTGTTTGGTTCTTTATGGCATATATCAACATCTGAAACACTTCGTTTTTTGTTCTTCTTATCCTCTCCCTAACTGACATACAATGCAACGTCCATGAAGCAAGACTTTTTCTTTTTCACTATTGTATTCCTAGAAACTGGATAAATGTCTGGCAAATAATAAGCTGGGTATACACCAAGTGAATAAAAGAAGTTAAAGTTAAATGTTTATATTCTTTCATGAACCATTTACAAGGTTTTCCACTTCTTATAATAGTCAATTTACATCATTTTTCTGATTCTGTAATCCTTAATGGATCCCCGAGACTTTCAAATTTGGTTGTAAGGTAACAGAGGTAAAAGTAAGAAGAATGTTCCTAAGTAATTTGTTTATGATTTGCCAATCTTATTGGAAGGTAAATATCTTGGCTCTTTGTTTTTATTTAGTAGTGTGTCATGATATTTGCAGCATAGTTTATTCTTTAGGCATTTTGTGGCTTTGATTATTCAGAGGGAGAAACTGAGCTACATCAATGGATAGAATAACTGAAATAAATGATGATAGGTAGCCTTCCTTGATTTACAATAAATTTTCAGGCTCTGGTACATCAATAACCAAATAGTATCAGAGTTCTACCTGACACACATCTCAGAAATGACCTATTTTCACTTCAGTTTGCATTGAACACTCCTCCTCACCATAGGAAAATCACCAGCTGTTAATCTGATGATGCTAACTTGATTATGGAGCCAGCCCTGCCCCATCAGAAGTTCACAAAATACTCAAATTGATGCTGAAAACTAAATGTGTTAAAATGCGATTTTTAGTTTTAAAGGAATGAAGTAATTCTAAGGAAGAAACTATTAATAAAAAGCCATAATATCACAGACCACATTACAACTAAATCTAAGAATTTATAAGACTTGCTCATCCAGTATGTCTCTCCCTCTTATTCATCCGACTTTCACTTTTTAATCAATGAAAAATGGGGCATTGGCATAGCCTGACCCTACGTCTGTATGTAGTAATAATAGCTAAAATGTAATCTACAAAGTATTTTTAAATTATTTAGCCCTTTATCTTCTCACAATAGTCTTATGAGCATGTTATTCTCTTTGATCATAAAAAAATTGGGGGTGATTAAAAACATATAAAGTTATATGTTAGCTAAATTATGGAAAGTCAGGTAAGGAAATAGAAACTTAGGGATGCCAAGTTACATCCTGGTTTTAGAGATCTAGTGAATTTTGAATCTGTTGTTTCATGCTGCCTCACATATAGCTAACTCTAGAGACTAAGTCAACCAACAAGTTGTATCTATATAGACAATTCAGTCCCAAACCCTTGCTTTCTTCCATAATGTAAAACACATTACATTTATGGTAAAGAACCCAAATATCACTGGGTGCAGTGGTGCATGCCTATAATCCCAGCAACTCCAGAGGCTGAGGCCAGCCTGGGCAACTTACTGAGATTCTGTCTCAAAATAAAAAAAAAATAAAAAGAACTTGGGATCTGGTCAGTGGTTAAAGCACCCCTGGTTTCATCCCCCATTACCAAATATGTATATCCAACAATAAGAGAATATGTAAGAATGCCTGCTCAATAGACCTGATGGGAGTCCATTGAAAAAAGTTTCATTTGTTTATTCAATAGTTACTGATGGCCTAGTAGGTTTATTATGGGCTGCTGGTGGGGGTCCGGTCTCTGCTTTTAACCAGCACTGTTGCAATGCAGAGTGTTACACACTGCCACTGAGGAAGTCCAGGGTACTAAGGGAACACTCAAGAGGGACACCTAAGCCAGGCTAAGCATCAAGGGAAAACCTTCAAGAGGAAAAGTGAAATCTAAACTAAGAAGATAGAATGCATAGGAATTAGCTACAAGAAGAAGGTGTGTGGAAGACAGTGGTGGGGAGGTAACACAACTTGCAAAAGCCCAGAGATATATTGAGTCCAGAAAATAAGGTCAGATTGTAAAATGGACAGAATCAATGAGAGGTGATAAAAAAGGAAGTTCCAGGTATAAAAGGGCTGGGTAATGTGGGGTCTTAGAAGTCAAGGTAAAGTTTGAAATCTATCCTTAGAGTAGTGGGAGGTATTTGAAAGAAAATTATTGTACTTTAAAAAGATCAATCTGGAAGTCAGGAAGAAAAATATTTTCTCAAACTATAAATCATGATCCATTGGTAAATTGTGAGATCAATATAGTGAGTCACAAGTAGCTGAGATTTTAAAAAATTAAATACATGAAATAGAAAATAGTATATTCTACAAAAAAGCATAAGAAGTCTTAATTTGCCGGGCACAGCGATGCACACCGGTAATCCCAGCAGCTTGGGAGGCTGAAGCAGGAAGATATCAAGTTCAAAGCCAGTCATAGTAACTTAGCAAGGCCCTAAGCAACTGAGACCCTGTCTCAAAATAAAAAACTAAAAGGACTAGGGATATGGCTCAGTGGTTAAGCATCACTGAATTCAATCCCTGATACCAAAAAAAAAAGTAGTAGTGCACTAAGAGAAGTACACAAAGGAGACTGAGGAATCACCAGGAGGAAAATCAGAAAAGGAAATATGAAGAATACCATTGGTTGTCTACTTAGCATCCATTCCTTTCTGTTGCTTTGTAAAGAGAACCCTGGATCTGTTCACGTAGTCACTGCCCCCATCACCACCCCACTCCACACACACACAGCCATGAAGCTCCAGAAAGCTGACTCCATCTTCAGCCAATCCGTGCATGGCACTTCCCTGGTAACTCTGACTTACTCTCATGATTAGAAGAAATGTTCCTCCATTACTCTGGGTAGGAACTAAGAAGGATGCTGCCCTGTCACTGCTGGCAATCATCTTATGATCAGGAGAACTAATCTAGCTAGGCACAGTGGTGCACAACTGTAATCCCAGTGGCTTGGGAAGCTAAAGCAGGAGGATAGCAAGTTCAAAGCCAGTTTCTGCAACTTAGGGAGGGCCTAAGAAACTTAGCGAGGCCCTAAGCAACTTAGAGAAACCATGTCTCAAAAATTTTTTTTAATTTTAAAAAGGGCTCAATCGTTAAGCACACCTGGCTTCAATCCCTGGTTCAAAAACAAACAAACAAAAACTTGGAATGAAGCAGATGCTGAAGATGAAAAAACAAGAACAAAAAGAACCTAGGTCCCTGATAACATTCAGCTGCTGCACCAACTCTCCGGGAGCCAGCCCCTGTTTGAGCTTACTGTTAAGGTACACTTATTGTTAAAGCCAGTTTGGGTCAAACTTTCTTGTACTTGCTCACAAATTCATCGTAGCTGATACAGATGTCACCACAGAAACCCAGAAAAGAGTTTCAAGGAAGATGGAAAGATCCATTTTGCCAAAAGTTGTAGAGATGACAAATAAGAACTAAAAAAGGTGACTGGATCACAACAAGAGGTGGATGGTGGTATTAGACAAAGTACCAGCTGCAGCCACATTTGGATGAATTTGAGTGCATTAGAGGTGAGAGAAGCAATAACAAGGAGTTTGAAGAAAAAAGATGGAGTATCATTAGATGACAAAAAGATCATAGTTGTGTGTCACTTAAAGATGGCACCTTCTGAGAAATGTGTCTTTAAGTGATTTTGTTATTCGGACATCATAGCATTTACTTACAAAAAGTAAGATGACGATGACATCACTAGGTGATGTAATCTTACGAGACCTCAGTTGGGTATGTTGTCAGTTGTTGACCAAAACGTTGTTATGAGCACCATCCGTGGGATAATAATATATACTAAGAGCTTGTGTTAGGCACCGTATTAACTCTTCCACAAGTAAATGTTTTTAATTCTCATAACACCTCTATAATGTAGACATTCTCCCCAACTTACATATGATAAAACTGAGACCTAGAGGAAAGAGAAGAAATATTAAAAATTTTATGTCACTAGGGACTGGGTTGTGGCTCAGGGGTATCACGCTTGCCTAGCATGTGTGAGGCACTGGGTTTGACTCTCAGCACCACACATAAATGAAATAAATGTCCATCAGCAACTAAAAAAATTTTTAAAACATCACATTAGCCTAACAGGGAGGAGCAGGGGCAACAGTTGACATTTATGGAACACCATCAACCAGGCACAGATGAACTTGGCTAGAAAGGGTTTTATGAACACCATAAAAGATAACTCACAGAGCTGGTATTAGTTTCCTGTTTTGCTGAAGAGAAAACTCAGAGCAGTTAAATGAGAATTGATAAGTAGAATCAAGATGTAAACTCAAGATTGACTGACTTCAGTGTTTTTACTTTTTTATTTTTTTAAATACCTTTATTTTATTCAATACTTTTATTTAGTTTATTTTTATATGGTGTCGAGGATTGAACCCAGGGCCTCACACATGCTAGGTGAGCACTCTACCGCTGAGCCACAACCCCAGACCCAGTGTTTTTACTTTTCTTAAAATATTTTTTTAGTTGTAGATGGACACAACACCTTTCCTTTTTATTTATTTGTTTTTATGTGTTGCTGAGGCGCAAACCCAGTGCCTCGTGCATGCTAGGCAAGCGCTGTACCACTGAGCCACAACCCCAGCCCTTGTTTTAACTTTTCCTCCAGTCAAAGCCACCTTGAAGAGCCCAAGAGATCTTTGAGTCCATAGCATTTACAACATGAGAAGATTCCCCAGTGAGAAGAGTCACAAAATATTATTTCAGAAGAATGAAGCCTGGTCTATTTACCTCTAACACTTTTATTATGGAAGCTCTGAGAGAGTAAGCAATTTTTCCAAGGTCAAATTGATATTTTGTGACAGAAGTAGAAGACCTCTCTTAGCAGTGCACAGAGCACTGTACCTGAAGGGAGAAAAAAGAATTTCCTGACCACTTCTCACCCACTTCCTATAACCTCTCTGGATTTAACTTTCCTCATCTATAAAACAGAGGACCTCAAGTGATAATTAAGTGAGATTTCATACAACAAACACACCACATGATTTCCATGAGACGTATTTCTAACTTCTAAAATAAGATCATTTCTGTTGCTAAAGAGAGACTGAGAGAAGGAGACAAAGATACAGATCTCTAGTACCCCAGACTGCCTCCACCACCTCCACCACCACACTGTCCCGCAGTAAGCAATCCTGGACAGCCTATGCCAACATGTTTCCCTGAGTCCACCTTGGTTCCCCTTGACCTTCTTGCTGTGGGATAGTATATTCATCAACTACTGCCATAATATTAATACATAACACATCACCCCCAAAACT